CTTTCCTTTAGTTTATTACGCTTATTTTCTACTCAGTAACCAGTAGAAAGTATTTTATATGTTCTCTTTGATTTTAGTATCTTCACCCAGTAACCGGAAGTTGGTATCCCTTCCCCCGTTGAGTTGTTTCCTTTCCTTTATCGAAATAGGATCTTGCTCTTTTATTTTCCCTAATGGAGTCTCTTTTCTTCTTTTTCTCCCCAGTGTTTTTCTTTGGCTCATGTGGCATTTTCTCCCCCACAGAATTCTTGTGTTTGCATGTCAAGCCTAGTCTAGGCTTTCTTCGCATGTTTGAGTGTTTATCTGTCTACTTTATCTGCTTTTATTTATTGTCTTTTGCTGTAAATATTTGTATCTTATCTATTATGGTGGATGAGATACTCTTCTTGTAAACCCTGAGGGAAAGGCTCTCTATCCGAGTCTAGAGTGCAAAAAACATAAGATATGAGAGGTTGAGTAGTATGGGGCACCAAGGAGCTCTCCTTGTGTCGTTCGATACGAGAACCTCACTTAAAGTAGATTCCATTGAGAATGTTGGTGATCGCCAAATTCTTGGCGTAGATGACCAACGTTTTCATTGGAATACATGACTCTAAGGACCTCTTTGAACCTTGAATCATTGGCCCAAACTAGGATTGATGGTCACGTTTTATGGGGCACCGAGGAGTACTCCTAGCGTAGTTCAATACGAAGATCTCATTCAGAATAGAATTTTTTAGTGAAGTCGTTTGCCTGGAAATCACTAACATACACAACGAACAGTCAAGAAAGTCCATGACTCTGAAACCCTTGTCTAGAATACAATATCGATGGTCGCGTAATATGGGGCATCGAGGAGTTCTCCTTGTGTCGTTTGATACGAAGACCTCACCCAAAAGAGATTCCTGTGATGGAGTCATCAACCGTCATGCTCATGGCGTGTCTGATGAACAATCATGTGGACTTATGACTTTGGGGTTCCTTTTAAACTCTAGATTTCAACCTGGTGAGATCCTTGTAAGGAGAGCAGCCAGTCATATCCTTCATCTGCACTTCGAACTTTTGTGATCTTTGATCGCGACTTTCTATGTCTAATACAACTTAACTGCAAGTGCACAGTCTATCATGTAGTAATAAAAAATATCGATCCCACAAGGACTCGTAATCAAACTAGTGTTCTCAGGAGTTACTATGTTTAGCTAGGTAGATAATGTTTAAGGGAGTAATTGCTATTACTAAAGGGAACTAAAAGCGTTACTTAAATTATAATTACGCGAATCGATATGCAATAATTATGTCCTTCGGGGATTTGACAAGTTACCGGTATATAAAATATTTTCAGAATTTATTTAAGAAGAAAATAGTGATCTAAAGACCTTCGTCTCACGATGGTTGTTGACGCAAGTCGCAACTTTAAGGCGGAACGTATGTTGTCGCTATCCCGTTCGGGGTTAAAATCGCTTTTTGGAAATCTCTAAGTTCTAATCTATTTTAAAGTGCTTTCGCTGTTATTAAAACAAATGCCTAGTGTTTACTATCTGGTCCTAGCCGCAGTTGTCGCTTGTTGGTTCGTACCTTAATTAATTCCCCACTGTCGTGGCAAAACTACTTTTAAATAAGTTCTCGCTGTCGCGACGAACGTTTATTCAGGAAACAAGTTTAAACACTCAGGCCATAAACAACTTTTGAAAAAGAAAGGTTTTAACCGGTTATTATCAAATCCCGTCTGAATTATTATTACATACCGATTACTCTGGTTTAGCTAGACATGGATTTGGAATAAGTAAAGCGTAAATAAAAGCAGAAATTTAGAACATTCATACTGCTGGGAATTAAAGTTACAATTAACGAAATAATAAAAACCTGTAACGTATCCAATTGGCTTTTGGCCAAATCCCAACAATGTCGGCAGGATTGTGTCTTCAAACCAATAGAGCGCACAAATGAATATTGCAGAAATGGAATACAGGAAAAAGGAAACGAAACAAAAACAAGACTGAAACTAAATTTGCTCTGGAAAAATATTTGGGCAGCACTTCGTTATCTGAATGCGGCTCCCTTTCTCAGCTCCCCTCCTTCTCCTTTTATAGAGGTGAAATGCTAAGGGTTATAATTTGCAGAAGGTGGACTTGGAGTCAGAAAAATTAGGGAGTAGTGGTCCATTATTTTGGGACTTGGAACTGGTTTTTGCACGTTAAATGAAGTTTTACGTTTTTGCCTGCATGACGGTCGTCATGGTGTGTGACGGTCGTCACCCGTGTGACGGTCGTCATGGATGTGTGACGGTCGTCGCAGTAGCAAAATACGCATCTTCTGTTTTTCATGTTGTTTTCATCTGGTCGTCCATATTTCATCTATAATTGATTCTTTTCTTCATATTGCTTTGTTTGGACATGATCTTCAAATACCTGCAAAATATCAGACAAATAACATGGAAAGCCCCGAAATCGGATTGAAACCAGTCAAATATTAGTTGAATTATACGTCAATATATATATATACGATTTCGCGTTATCAATCTTGTACATGTGATCTTGTACTCGTGATCCTGGATTCTTGCATTACATCCATATCATGATATCACATTGCATTGCATTCGCATCAGTTGTGCATCTTGTATTTCATTTGAATAATAAAAACTCATTTCACCTTCCTTCATCTCAAGTAACTCAAGCTGATTCCTTGACACTAGTACGTTACTCGAGCCAACACTAGACGAATGATGGATCAGATTCAACAAGAGCAAGTTGTTATCCGAGAGGAAATGGACTCTGTTAAAAGCAAGATCGATCAGATTTTCGAGACCATAACTGCTCTGGCCAGAAGAGAAGATGAATTGTGTGATGTTACTGCCGCAAAGAACAATGTTCCTGTGCAAGGATCTACACGAAATCGGAAAAAGGATAGGACAAGGTCATCGCAACCATTGTCGGGGTTCGGAAGATTGGTGACTCTGTTGGGGAGTCCAATCAATGATATTTTCTCGCGAGGTCGTGTTCTCTCATTTTTGAGGTGCGGCACCACCATGTCTCTTCTTAGCCTCTGACCAATTCTTAGCATCTGACCAAGACCGCTTCTGATTCTTCTTACCAGAAGACGCCTTCAGAGCCTGCTCTACCTCTCTTTCAGAGGTTCTCTTAGCCATACGCAACTCTTCTGTCTCTAGAATACTCTGCATTTCTTCAATTTCCATGGTGTTAAGGTTCTTAGAGTATTCAATTGCTACAACAATGTAGTCAAACTAAGGAGTAAGTGATCTCAGTACCTTTTCGTTGATTACTTGTTCAGAGAGAGTTTCTTCACAAGATTTCATCTCATTTGTGATCAGAATCACTCTGGAGATGTAATCAGGTAACTTTTCATCGTCCTTCATGTTGAGATTCTCATATTGCTTACGTAGAGAATGAAGTATCACCTTTTTCACTAATGCATCACTGCCGTAACACCATACCAGTGTGTCCCACGCAGCCTTCGCCGTCATTAAATCAACGATCTTCCCAAACACATTTGTATCCACATACTGATGGATATAGAACAATGTCTTCTGATCTTCTTACTTGTTTGTCTATGTGTGCTTCTTTGTGCTTCAGTTGCATCTGTTGCAACCGCTGCGTAACCGTCATTGACAAGACCAAGAACATCTTGAGCGCCAAATAACTCACACATCTAAATCATTCATCGATTCTAATTCTTTCCATCAAAGACTGGAAACTTTGCGTTCGAGCTACCATTTTCACTATTCATCTTCGATCTTGTGCAAATTCACTCAAAACTCACCAACACCCGTGTTTCTCAATCCCTTATAATCAATAAATGTGATTCTGTTTCAATTTATATATTCAATCCACTGTGAATTGAATGAGTAGAATCAATCACACACGCTTTACGTACACTCGTGTTTCCCATTCTGAATTTGAACCGCAACTCTAGATATCAATTGTTGGTGCACAGGGTGTTAAAGATGAAGAAAATGATGAAAGAAAAAAAAATTCTAACTAACTTTCAAAGAAAAATTAATTATACTGCAATTATGCAATTATGTTACAACTGAAAACTCATTTTTAGCTTATATAAACACATCCAAACTAAATAACTGAATCTAAATTCCACTCTAACAATAAACATGACTTACTTCGTACAATTATAAACTAAATAAGTATCTAAATTACACTCTAACAATAAACATGACTTACTACGTACAATTATAAACTAAATAAGTATCGTTGTCCACATTTCCTTATCAAAATTACGAACAAATTTTCCATTGCCTTCTTAATTTGCTATTATGGTCCTCGAATATTATTTTATTATCCATTTAGGAGAATTTGTCCTCATAGAAAATGAGATATATAAAATTATAAATAAAAGAGGTTGCTTTAAAAAAACTAAAATTGTTGCATTTTATATCTAGAACTGAATTCAAACCTAAAATATCGGATTAAGACTTGGAAAAGTATTTAAAATTTTGATTCACAATGGCGCCTCAAGTAACTTATGAATCAAAATTACTTTTTTTAGATAGTCTAATTCATGTTCACACAAGAGTAAAATTTTCAACATTTTCAAGACTTCATTATTGTACTATTTTTCCTTGCAAAAAAGTTGACAACACTTTGGAATAACTTGATGTATTGTCTCCCAAAATTTACATAGACAAAATATATATTATATAATAAAATATGTTGGCATCCTAAACTCCTAGTTCAAGGCCACACACATCAAAATATTTGCTTCTTTCTATAGAAAAACAAAGTGACCCCCCAAAAACAGATATTGCATAATTAAGGACAAAATCATGACACATTTCATTTGTACCCCATGTGTAAACTTTAATCTAATCTTGTTAATTGTTAATCCCTCTTTCCCTTTTCCAAAAGTTTACCTTCTCATTCTTCTTTGCCTTCTCCAAATAACCTGTCACCATCATATTGAGTACATCTCCATTTTGAGCAGACATAGAAACCCATTTCTCAAAAGATGTAACTTTTTTTTTCAATTCCATTAATTAATTTTTATTACTCCTACTGCTTAGGAATAGTGGTTGAAGGTGAAACAACATTGTTGTCTGTTGTTGTTGCTGGTGACCAAAAATCAGCACCGTTACTGCCTGCCACGTGTAAGGTGCTTCCAACAGGGATCAAACATAAACCTCGGCTTGTTAAATCTTTGTTCACTTTTGTGTTTTCTTCTTCTTCTTCTCTTCCATTGTTATCTCCGTCCCCCTGAAATAACGCGTACTCACACAATCAGGAATCTTATGTCATCGAGAGTTTACCTTAAATGGATAAACTGTCACAACAAGACTTTGCTCAATGTGAGTAACGCAATGTTCAGTATTGTCCCCATCAAGTGGACCCCAGCTTCACCTTACTCTCACTAGCTGTATTTTTTGTTTGTTTCAAAACATAAATAAATAAATTCTTGGAATAGTAGTATATATTTTATGGAAAAATGATCCGAGATTAGTAGTCAAGATTTAAGATTTGGGTGGAAAAATGGATCTGGTTAGTCTGTATTGAGAATGCATGTTTTTTCTGCAATTTTTGACAATTAGAGTTAAGATTTTAGGTCAGCATATTAAGAATGTAGAGATTTTAGTTTTGCATCATCTTAATAATCCGCCGAAACTTAAGATTTTAGGTTTGCATCATCTTTGTCAATCGCTAAGATTTTAGATTTGCATCATCTTACCTTATTTGTAAGGTCATTTTAGGTTTGCATCATCTTAGGTTATCCGTAAGGCCAAGATTTTAGGTTTGCATCATCTTTGTCTGAAATGCTAACGCCATTTTAGGTTTGCATCATCTTACCTCATCTATAAGGCCAAGATTTTAGGTCTCCATCATCTTTGTCTGAAACGGTAATGTCATTTTAGGTTTGCACCATCTTACCTTATCTGTAAAGCCAACATTTTAGGTTTGCATCATCTTTGTCTGAAACGCTAACGTCATTTTAGATTTGCATCATCTTAACTTATCTATAAGGCCAAAATTTTAGGTCTACGTCATCTACTTTATTTGTCTTGTTAAGTTCTTTGGCCGGCACTAGTTAACAAGGGCATGGTTGTTTTACGGGATGAACCAAGATTTTTGACCAATCTTACCCCATTTTATTTACTCTTTTGTTGTATGGCCCTAATCGAAACAAACATACCTATTTGTCACCCTTATTCTTGTTTGTCACCCTTATTTAGAAGTGATGAGATTTATTTGTCACCCTTATGCTCAAGTGGAGAGTGATATGAGTCATCTAATCTTACTTGCGGATCCTTGTGTTAGATATCAAATTTAATTTAAAAAAGTTACAAAATGTTAGTACTAATTTGTACCTGAAGTCAGAAGTTAATAAATTGAACATTGAAGTTTTGCTTTGGAATGTGTTAAAATTTGTTTTGTTTCTAACACAAAATTTCAACTTTTAAGTTTTTTTTTTTAAATCAATTTTTAAGTTTCTTAAAAATAGCCTAACCCAGTTTTTCTTTACTATTTTTCTAGTAAAGATGTTGGGGAAAGTAAAATCAACATTAAACATCTTAATGTTACACTGTCAAAATGATAAGACATCATGAATATCATTAACATACTGAGATTTTATGATGAGACTTACAGGGTGATTTTGAAACTGAATTTGTGAAGGTTGAAGGTATGGAGAGCACAGAACCTGAACTTGATCATGTAAGAATCTTATGTAACCAGTTGCCTCGTGAAGCACCGAAGCTGTATCAGTCTACACATGCAGTTTTCAATTTTCAATTATCAATTTCCAAAACCTAAATTCAATTCACAAATTCCCAAATTCTAATTCAATAGATATACCTTGCCAAAGGGAGAAACAAGTTGTTGTAATGCTGCAATTCTTTCACCAAGTTTCTCTTTTTTCTGCAATTACAAAAAAAATTATGTTAAATATATTTTTTATGATGGAAAATGACAGGTTGTGTTTGTTCAAGAGAATGACATGCAATGTTTCATAGTTGGTTTTTTTTGGTTACCTTTGCATGTCCGGTTGAAGTTGGGCGGTTGTCTCCTTTGGTCTTCTTAGGACCTTTCTGCCCTCCAACACCTGCCCTGGTCCCCAGTTGTTGTCCTTCTGACCCATTCCGCTTTTTCTGAAATCTCTTCAATTAACCAAAAAAAATTAGAGAGAGAAAACAAAACAAAATAAAATAAAATAAAAGAGAACCAAAACCAACATCATTCTTAAGTATAGAAAGACAGACATTATTGAAAACAGTGTTGGTGTGGTTGCATGAAGAAGCAGAAGAAGAGTCACTAGAAGTGACAACAGATTTCTGAGTAGGTGTGATTATTTCAATTTCATTTTGGTAGTTACCACCAAAACAAAGCATTTTGGGAGTGTTATGAAGAGAGAAAAGAGAAGTATTAGAAAAGGTTTGGTCCACATGATGAAGACCCACCAATGGGTTATTATGATTCTGATTTTGATTATCAACAACAACAACATCGTCATCTGCTAATAGTAACTGAGAGAAACTGGTCCCAGTGGTGGTTGGTGGTGTGGTCAAATGGTCCACTACTTGAAGTTCATCTTTGGTGGTGTCCATTAAAGACAAAGATTGAGAAAGGTGTGGCTGATGTTGTTGTTGTTGGGTTGATTTTTCAAAGATTGAAATGGAAAAAATGTGGAAGCATTTTGGGAGAGAGGGGTTGTTTAAAAGAGAGAGAAACAAACAAATGTCAAGTGGCAGTGATGGTAAGAGACATTTGTTGGAATGACGTTTGTGTTACTGTTTGTTCTTTGTGTGTGTGAAACTAGAATCAAAATATAAAAAATAAAATAAAATAAAAAATAAAAAATAATAATAAAGAAAAAAAAAAAGAGAAGAGTTACAAGAATTGGGCTCAGTGGGCTATTTCCAAGGACGGCTTCGGTTTTTGGTAACCAATGGTCAAACCTACCTGGCCCGAGAAAACCGTGTTTGAGCTATCCAATGCATCATTTCAATTCTTCCAATATATTATAAAAATATATGTTACTAATTAATAGTAATAAAAAAAATTTGAGTACAGTTTTTTATCTAATTCAAAAAAAAAAAATTAATTTTAAACTTTTGGTATTTTATTATATTTTTATATTTAAAGTTAATAATATTTTTATTGTTTAAATAATATATTTATTGTAAAATATGATAAGTTATTGTATATAAATATATTATTGAATTTTATATTTAAAAATGTATAAATTTAAAAAATAAACATTTTATCAATTTTCTATAAATAAAAAAATGAAAGAGGACCAAAACTATTTGAATTTAAAATATAGAGACTAATTTCGTGAATCAGATAAAATAGGAGACTGAAATTGTAATTTTATCAAATAATGATATTTTAAAGTAATAATCATTTTAAAATAAAAATAGAAAGTATTGATGAAGTGTTATTTTCCGTCAAATTTGGTAAAGAAAAACAACTTTGATTTCATTTAAGGTATTAAATTAGAAAAGATCTCAAGACATGTTGTGTGAAAAATATAAGTTTGAAACATATTGACATTGAAGTCGAAATTAAAGGAAACTTAAAACAATAATTTAAATTAAATTCAATGCAATAAATGACTTGAAAGTAAAGACTTCAATTTATAAAATGGAACGCATGTATGTACATTTTTATGACTCTTTTCTCACAAACACATAAATACTTTGAGTTTATAGAATTTGTGTATAATTGCGGACATCTAAAACTATAATTGAGCACTACTTATATATTAGTCCTAAGTTAACCTGTTAGAACAAGATTTGTTCATTTTCTTAAGAGGTTTTAAAGATGGCAAAGTATTAAAAGAATAATAGGGTTTACCAATGGTTATTCGAGTGTGCATGATCAAAAGACATTAACCTTGATATTAATCAAGTTAATCACTCAGAAGAACCATTAAACAGAAGCAAATTTGTTTTGAATCTGGAGGATCAGAACCGAGCTTTCAGACTCTAAGAAAGTCAATTGAAGTCTTTTAGATGTTGAACCTAAGCTTACTTGGAATACAAAGATCAACTCAACTATGAATACTACAATCATTTTAAGCAAGCAGACTCTGTTATAAGGAACGACTATGCATCTTCTGAACAAGCTTCGTCAGCAATTCTAAAGATACTACTGCAAAGGAATTTGTCTACATCAAGTCATCAACTCTTCAAGTGATCATCCAAAGTAGTTCTGATCAAGACTCTGATGAAGACAAGACTCAGAACCTATGAACTCAAGACTCTAAAGTCTCATTCCAACCAGGTTCTGAAGATATACTTTAGCTTCTGATTATGCTTTAACTAATTCTATAAAAAAAAACCTCTAAATCAGAAAGTTAAGTATAAGGATAATAATGGCACTAAACAAGCTTCAACAAACGTCTACTAGAAGACTCTAGTCAGAAGTTATTCAAGGAATATCATGTGACAACGATACATTGCTTTATGTCAAATCTGTTGATAGTGACGTTGTCAGGATCTTATCTCTCCAATTGTTAAGAACTCTGTTATGCTCTCCCAACGTCTTTATATTAGATGAGTTTTAGCTCACTCTATTGTACATTAGCTAAAGACCTTCAACGTCTATCTGTAATATGGTAGTCTAAATCTTCAAAGTGTCGAATGGGTAATGTTTTTTTGAACATCTCAAAGTTATGAACCGTGAAGGTTCTGAGAAATAATCTCTTTGAGCTGAACCTCTACCTCTTTAGAGAATGAATGTGAGTTGAAAATTTTGTGATTGTGTTCACATGGATGTGATACCAGCATGGTTGTTAAACTTGCGGGTAGACTCGTAAGCTCGTACGAGTTTATGATTCTAGGAAGCATAAGAGTAAACTCATGCATAGAATCTTTTTTTGATAGACTCGAGTAAATTCGGGTAGACTCGCACAAACTCGTATAGAATCGCGAGTCTATAACGAGTTTATGTGTTAATAAGTTTTTTTTGAATTTTCTTTAAAACCAAAAAAGCCTAAATTTCCCAAAAGATTATATTTTATTTAAAAAACACCCTTATTTTGTTCCTTGTACGATAGTTAGAAAATCTCTCTCTCTTAGCCTCTTATTTCAACAAAGTTTCTTCCTTCCTTCATCAACAACGTGAGTGTGTTTTGTCTCTTTCTTTGTTCGTGTTCATGGACGTAAATCAATCCTTTGTTGTGTAAGTATTTTCTTATATGATTCAATTTGATGCTTCTCATGTATGATATCTTGTGTAAAGGTGATGCACCATTATCCAATCAGGTCAAATGATCCCAATGAACATGTATCAATTTGCACGTGACAAAATAGTTTAGAAAGTTTATGATTTATGGCAGAAAACAATTTAGGAAGGGTATGTTACCTATTGAAGGGTGAGATTTCTATGGAGATGTCACTCTAGAATTAAAGAGGTTTGTAATTTGTGTTCTAAGCTTAACTTATGGATCCTCTAGTTGTGAATATAATTGGAATTTCTTTAAAATGACAATGAATTATTATTTGTTTGTTTATAGACTTGATTTTAATATTTTTAGAAACATTGAGTTGAATTATTATTTACTTTTTAGGTTCTTAAAAAGAGAAGAAATATGTTGCATCAAAAAGAGGTGAATAATTTGGTTTATGTCATGTAGAATTTAAAGTTGAAAAGTGGAAAAAGAAAATCAAATTGTGTTGTTATTTCATTTGTGTCATATACGAGGAATTTATAAGTTTAAGAACACATAAGTGTGTTATATATGTTTAAATTATAGGTTTTTAAATGTCATTTTTAATTTTCTATAGACTCGTACGATTTTGCGAGTCGAGTCTGTGAGTCAATTCTACAGACCCTTAACGAGTCTGAGTAGACTCGTGAGTTTGACAACCTTGGATACCAGTTCATTGAAATGAGCTAAGAGAAATACACTTTAAAATAATATATAACCAGAAGGGTTAAGTGTGTTAAATATTTACATACATTTTGAAGATAGAATATGGGAATTTGTTCAACAGAAAAGGAAGGCACAACAAGATGAAAATCTATTCAAGGAGAGAAGAATAATGAAAAATTCATTCTTCTACACTCATGAGAAATCAACTCAAATTTGCTCAAGAGTTTAAACCTTTGTGTCTCAGCTTATATAAGAAACACATATATGAACAAAAGGTTAATACCAGATTCTACTGTCAAGAGAATCTGAAGACTCTAGCCTCTATGCTCAAAGTAATGTCTTTTTCTGATGATTGAGAAAAAAAATTGAAATAGATGTTTAGGCATTAAAGTTTCATGCCTGCATGCATAGCAAGGAAGTCTCTATCAGTGTGATTGAGCAGGAAGTCTCATGTTTAGGGCTTGAGCAAGAAGTCTTGAATGTGTAGTTCAGGCAAGGAAGTCTCGATTTGGGTAATTGAGTCGAAGTCCAGAACAAGGAGTTTAGGCAAAAAAAAGTCTCATGCTTCCGGGCTTGAGCAGAAGTCTCTTTCCGTGGGATTGAGCAAGAAGTCTTGAGTTGATGGCTTAAGAAATTGTAATTAGTTTGATTATAATTAAAATCTTTTGTGCTGCAAGGGGACTGAACTAGTCTCAGTTGAGAGGAACCAGGATATATTGTGTGTTTCTTTATTTACTTCTGCATTTATATTCTGATGTGAAAACATACTCTGAAGTCGAACTCTGATCCGATTCAATCTCTTACCTACATCAGAATCTGAGCTTGACACCTCATGTTTTGAAGCAGAGTTAAGAAAAAGGAAGTCAACTTTTCACTGTTGTTATCACTCTGATATCAGACTCTAAACGTGGTTCAAAATCTGATAGTTTAGAAACAGTAGATAAAACTGAAGGTGTCAAAAGTACACAAGAAGGGGAAGGGGGGTTGAATTGTGTTTCACATTTTCTTTTAATTTAACTTCTGATCAGAGGATCAAAATCAAGCCTGCATGAGCTAACCCCAAATTTTACCCTTAGATTCTTTGATCTGTTGCATATCATCTAGGTCAATCATCCCTGCATGAGCTAACTGTTTCATTTAGTTTTATTTAAAGATAGGTTTGCGGCAGAAAGATTGGAAGTTATGAAGGCCCTGTGTACGCTAATCAAGCCTGTTCTATTGCAATTTTTTTGTGAAGTCCTGTGGATATAAGGGAAAGATACGCCCTTACTCTTGCAGCCCTTTGATCAATGTGAATGATCTTCATTCTCAAAGGATTTCTTAAACCATATTTTGTCATTCATGAAAGTGTTTCTTTTGGTCTTAAGAGATTGAAGTTTTCTTGTGGAAAATCAATGTGCTTTAAATGGCGAAGTGCTGGATAAATATATTGAATTAAATTCTAGTAGGGAATTCTTAAGAAACTTAAGGATTTTTCTTCATGAAATTTCAATTTGGTTTCGTTGTTATTCCTATAATATTCAAAATCAAGTTGCAATTTTTGTTAGATCCGTGAGCTTCGATAAATGGTGATTCTCGCTCCATCATAAATTTGTAGAACTTATATCCAAGATTTAAGCTTCAAGCCATTTTAAAGTTTCACTCAAGCTTTCATGGTTATGAATTGTGTTGCAAAGGTGCATAATACGTTTTTTATTTCACCTTGAGAAATTCATTATCCAAATT